ATAACTCTTGAAAATATTTAAAGATGTACTACATTTAATTTGCAGTGGCAAGGCATTCCAAAGCATTGGAGCAGAAATAGAAAAAGCGCGGTATCCATAAGACTTTAGATTWTAATTTGAAACCTTGARTAACCTCTTAGAACYAGATCTCAAACAGCGTTGAGGAGCATAAGGCTCAAGTAAATCGCAGAGATACTTTGGCGCAATACCATGGATAACTTTATACGTAAAAAGAAGAATTTTAAATTCGATACGCTGCTCAATCGGCAACCAATGCAGCTGTACTAAAATGGGCATAATACGCTGAGATTTGCATGATAAGGTAACCAGCCTGGCAGCAGTGTTTTGTACATACTGCAGCCTCTGCAAAAGATGCTTCGGTAAACCAAAAAGTAAGGCATTACAATTATCTAACTTATTCGTAATGAAAGCCTGAATTAATATCTTAGTGGTTTCAAAACTTAAAAATTTCCTAATGCGTGAAATGTTTCTAATAAAATAAAATGCAGATTTACAAATCTGAGTTATATGACTGTCCAGAGATAAGGTATTATCGTAAATAACGCCAATGTTTCTTGCACACTCTGAAGGAGTGACAGAGGAACTAGCCACTTGCACTGCATGTAGTGGTGGAGCCGGACGGTGCTTAGCATGAAATATCAGGATTTCAGTTTTATCATCATTAAGCTTTAATTTGTTGTTCAGCATCCACATATCAATGTCTAAACAACACAGAACAATCACAAACAAGTGAATTTAGCTTAGCATAGGGCAATGACATTCATAATGAGATAATCTTGAATTTTACCACGACTTATAAAGCATAACTTCGTAGCACATGAATAGAAAGAGTAACATCCTGATATTTGAATAATTTACATCTGTAAGATACTCTTATAACCAAAAATAATGTGTAAGTTTTCTATTAACTTGCTGTTAAACAAATATGTGTCAAAAATAAAGTCTTTGTTTCTCTCTCAAAAATCAATTATCTTTTTGTACTTGGTAGGCCCTGGCTAAACGAGGAAACATGCTTACTGCATACATGTTTCCTCAATGTTTCCCGGTTTAGCCACATGCAAAACATTGCTGTGTGCAACAAATTTTGCTTCCAAGATGCAAAAAATGTTTTGCTGTGCAGCAGAAACATTTCATGTTTCCAAGACGCGTGGAAACATTGTTTCCAGATGTTTCCTGACAGTTTTGCCACCTTAGGAAACATTTAGGAAAACATGTTTCCTCGTTTAGCAAGGACCGTAGACATATTTTACACATTTTTATTCTATCCATTTATTGTAAAATAAAGTCTAAAAGAAGCCATTAAAGTACAATACAGACGTAACCATACTAACAAACCACATCATGAACATCTGGGAACAGTTCAAATTTTTAACAGCCAAAAAAATAACACTAATAAAAACTCAAACAAAAAATCATTAAACAATGCGTCTTAATCAATTCTTTCGTGTTTCAGCATTCGAAACCGGAGAAAAATTTCGCTTCTATAACTTATGCGTATTCAGTGTTTTGTTAATGCTGCATGGATCGAGTGGGAATACTTTATCAAAGCTAGAGTCTTTAACATATGTTTAGAAGATTCTAGATAATCACCGAAGACTATTCATTTGATATTCATATTAAAATGACAGATCTGTGCTTAAACGAAATACTAAAGAAACAGGCTGTCATTCATAAGAATCCTAATCAATCTTATGATTACCTGGCTTCTTGAACCCGACCAGTGTAGAAAAGCTACGCTATGGTTATCACCGTGGAACTCGTACTCTGTAGCTAGTCCACTCCTTGAACTATTGCTAGAATACAAGATAGGGGAGTCTGTGAGGCTTCTTTTGCCACGAGTCGAAAGAGAAGTCAACTTGTTTTGATCAATCTTGCCATTCTTGAATAAACTTGAGTAGAAGGCTGCGTTGTTGGATTTCTTGTCCAAGACAATGTATTTGAAGCCGCTTATATCGTCATGGAGCAGCGATGTGGCCTCATAGATAAGGAGCAGGGTAAATAATAGCGTTAAATAGTGGTAATAAAACGCCATAACTCTTTATAGACTAAACACGACGAGCAAAGCAATTATTTTTGCACATTTTTTCAGACCTTGCGTCGCTGTCACGTGAGCCTACGATCTCACGACTCAGCGGAAAACAATATTGAAGAAAAAATCCTCCGCGCATTTTTTTAATCATTATAAAAATTAAATGCTATTATTTTAAACGTAAGAATAAGGCATTAAATATCAAATAAAATGACTTTATACAACAAGCTTTATTTTGAAATTTTTTCCAAGTTTCTTTGTAGCGCGCATGTGAAACAAAACATTTTATTTAAAAAGCGCAATTAAAACGATAAACTGTCTGTTTTCTTAAGAAAAAGACTTTTTGTCATAGAGTTGAAATATTATTTACCTAGAAATGGAAAATTTGAAATATTTTTTAACTTTTTCCTGGTGAGCCTGCGTTCTTTTCCAGCGGTTGAGGGGTAGGTGTATTGTATCGATGGGTAGTATTAAGGGTCCCCCCTCTAAACATGTTCTTTCTCTTCAGTCGGCTGTGTTGCATGAGGTTGGAAGCACAAAATGAAGCAACATAAAGACGTGACTTCTTCTCGCAGAAAATGCCGTAAGGCTCACTTCTCAGCCCCATCAAGTGTTAGAAGAAAGCTTATGAGTGCTCCCTTGTCGAAAGAATTGCGACAAAAATACAACGTTCGCTCAATTCCAGTCCGTAAAGACGACGAGGTGCAAGTCACACGTGGGCACTTTAAGAGCCAACAAGTTGGCAAAATCATCCAAGTCTACCGTAAAAAATGGGTTATTCACATCGATAGAATCCAGAGAGAGAAGGCTAATGGTGCTACCGTGAGTGTAGGTATCGATCCCAGCAAGGTTGAGGTCGTCAAACTCAAGCTAGATAAAGATCGTAAGAGAATTTTGGAAAGAAAGAACCGTTCCAAGTTAGCAGAGAAGGGAAAACACACAGAGGAGGAAGTCCAAGCCATGGCTACAGAGTGAAGTATCTTTACAGGTAACCACAAGAACTGTGACTATATAACAGTCAATAAATATATGCTCTTAACATTGTCATTCCCAGCTGTTTTTCTTGAGTACATTCAAGACAGACAGCAAATCAATGGCATGTACAGTAGGGCTATAACAAGTCATTCTATGAATTCGAGTATTTTGCTTTATAATATTTAAAAATTTTGAAATATTTAATTTAAAAAATTATATCCTCAGACATGTTTGTGAGTAAGAATGGGCTACCCTATGTATATTTTGTAACAATATAATGTACAATACAACTTTCATGTGGTGGAACATGACTTTATTATCCAGTGTCCAATATTCAATTTACCAAATGTTAGTTTAACCTACCAGGAATAGTTTTTGATGTAAAACAGTGCTATGTTGGTAGACTTGAAGATTTTTTATCAAGTTTATCTTTGACGCACCAATGCATGCTATTTATGAAAAAAATTAAAAAGCTGTCATTGTTTTTACAAGGTTAGCACTTAATAGTCAACCACCGGTCCCCATTCCATGTCAAATTGGAATTAAGGAGTTGATTGTTAAAGAGGGAGGAATATTGGAAGAACTTAGAGAAAAACCCTTGAAGCACAGGAGAACCAACAAGCAACTCTACTCGCATATGACACTGAGCTTGGTGGGATTTGAACCCAGGTTGCTTTGATGTAATGACACCAGTGCTTCCCAAAGCACATTTGGAAATGACTATTACAGCCATTCTTAATCACACGCCGCTCTAGTGATTGTTTCTGTCGCGACGAAGAAGCTTTTGGTGGATGTCAATCGAGGCGTTTCCATGACATTCCATAGGCACGTGCCCTTATAGGTTTGTGTTTTCCGACAATGTTATGGAAAGGCTTTGTGATTGACGTCCACCAAAACCTTCTTCGTCGCGACAGAAACATTCGCTAGAGGGCGCGTGTGATTGAGAATGGCTGTAAATTGGTTTTGCATGCTTCTGAACCGAGGATCAAAATGTTGGAGTTTTTGGCTTCTGTATTCATAAAATTACTAACCCAAACCTTTATTCATTTATCTGGAGGTGTATTTATTGCATTTTTAACTTTTTATTCCTCTTTTTCAGAATTTCCAAATTGTCAATCAAGGTCAAGCTTCAACCACCTCTCTTAATCAGCTTGTTCAAATAAAAATTATTCCAACTTATATATCTGTGTATTGGTTGTATTACTTAGCTGTGCAATCCGGGGTCAATTTACTAGCCAACCAGCTCATGTCAGAGATGGCTAAACTATGGCATTGAGTACTAAATTGAAAAGCCATTTGTACACTCTTGATGACCTAACTATTAGTGACTTTATCTTTTTCAATCCATGTAACTTGGTTTTGTAAGTACCCTTGCATTGCTTGGTGGCCTGTGATCATTGTGATGGTAGGTGAAAGTCTTTCCTTCCTCCAGCCTCCCCTCCCTCAAAAATCAACTGCAGATTCCCTGGCGATACAGGGTATTTTGCATGTTGCTTCTTGAGTGTTGCTCATATTATGACCAACTCCACGTCCACAAATTTTCTTTATCACACCAATTGAAAGCTTTTTGTACTCCGTGGCAAATGATATTTGTGAGAATACCTAAAGTTGCTAAAATCACTACAAATGCCCAGTTTTTAGAAGTTAGAGTTACTCTTATTCTAGGCACTAGGCTTGTGTTTTCTTTACCCATAGAACACGGCTACTAATATAACTGTCCTGCTCCCAAAACTAAGAAAGAAAGCAAATTTGTTACACCAATCCTTCAAGATCAAACGTACATACGTTTTTTAACAATTAAGTTAATTCATCTTGTTAGAGTGCACACACTAAAACCGTGAACATTTAATAGTACTAATTAATACTATTTCATACAGAATCCTTTGTTTTCTATTGTTTAGTTATCACTATTTAGTGCTAAAAATTAGTATTTCACAGGTTTAGTGTGAGCACTCCATCACAGGATCAAAGAGAGCATAAATAAGTAGTTATGCTATTCTTGCAGGATCTAATTTGACACCAACATGACATGGTTTTTGCATGGTTAATTTTTAAATGTATACAAAAAGATGGTAGTGGTTTTTCAGTTGAGTGCACAAGCAGAACCATTGATTAGACCATGGATAATAACCAGTCCTCTTATATGATCCATGATCAGACAAATAGATCGCGCGCACGCATTCTCGCGCATCAGTTTGTGTTGCGTTCGTGCGTGCGCAGAGAACAAGTCGCGCTCGCGCATTTACATGTCATCAACTCAAAAAACGCAAAGAGAAACTGAAAGAAACAGCTCATCATGGAACGACCCCGGTGATGGTAGATTATGGTTCTTCATCTCCCGGATAAAAAGTATCTAAACGCAGTAATAAGTAACGGTTCATAAATTTAATCAATTGCATCATTGCAATCATTTTGGCATCATCGATAGTATAGCTGAAGAAATCTTACCGCCGGTGTATAATTCTGATTCTCATACTGAGTAAGACATCGTATCATCTTTTCAAACTACTTGCTGACTTCTGGCGTAGCCGTAAAGCGTCGACCATTTCAGCTTGTGGTGACTTTTCCTTGCTGCTGCTAGGGTGATTATCAAGTCTAATGACTTCTCAGATACGACCTACTGCTCCGTCAAGCAACACAAGAGGGTTAGTCGTTCCCGCGGCTGGTTCGGACTACAAACACTGGCCCGTTTTCACGTGTGCCTATGGTTTGGTACAAATATCCATGATGATTTGGGTATGTAATAGAGGAGGAAAGATATCGAATGCTTTACAGCCTATTCGACGAAGCAGATTAGGTAAGATGTATTCTTAAAATCCGCCTAAATATCCCTATTTTTACATTTATCGTATAAATTTATGGTTCAGAATCAAACATGTGTACTATCTATCTCTATCTTTTACTCCGACGAAGGACTAGCGTCCGAAACGTCATTAAGTTTTTCATCTTTTCACGATGTAAAATTTACCCTTTTATCATTACTGTTTCATTAGAAACACCGACGCAGCTCACACTAGTTTTGGCTAGTTATATCTTCTTTGTACTATCTAAGGAAAAGCTTAAGTGCTGATGATATTCAATGTACATATTTTCTTACTCGATAGAAACGCTCACATTCAGAGGCCCCACTGTTATAAACCACACTGAATATCCAAATCCCTGGTACGGACCCTCAGAGCGCAGCCTCGTTCAGCTTGGTGCGTTATTTCCTCCTTGTATGAGAACGGAGCATCGGTACAATTACCAGTTTGCAACTTCATGGAGCAACATTCAGCTGCGATTGGGACGGGAAAAACTAGGCTGCTGTGAAGCAGAAACCCTGAACATCGCTGGCACATTGACGAAGGTAAGTTTTCTAGTTTTCCTGCCTATGAGCATTTGAATATTAATCCTGTGAATGATGTGCCAATTATCCCTGCGCTGGCTCTCCTCTTGTTTCCCAAGTCCATTTTTGTTTCCCTGCTGGATAAATTTCAAATAAAATTAATACAAAAATTGTGTGTGATTCTATTGACAGAAACAATGTCAAAGCATGTCAGCGCCTAACATGACACAATGGAAGGAAATAAGGTGCAGTCAACGGCGTACAGGGCAGAACTTCATCGCGCATGCAATACGTCCATGTTGCGATGCATTAGCAAGTAAATGTCACATGACAAGTCCTGACCACTGCGTCTTCATAGGCGGAGTATATCACCTCCACGCTGAACATTGTTACCAGGTATTTATCAACCCCTACGTTTGGGTAGATAAATCTTGTAGATGGAACTTGTTTGACAGCGTTGTCAGACAAGATTCATGAGAGGTTTCAGTCACAAATATGATTGATATAACGCCCATTTTAGAAGGAACGCTGCAATACTAGTATAGCTTTGATACATTGCAATGAAAAAAATCTTGAGACACGGTAGAATTCATAATATCATATAAAGGTTAAAACGCTAGGGCGAGGGTTTGCATTGAAGTGCAAGACCGAGGGCCGCAGAAATTTTCCTTGAATTTCAATGTACCCGGGCACGTGCGTTTTAAAAACCAACCACGCCCTATTTCTAATGTTCGATGTAGGGTTTGAATTGCGATGGAAATTTGAATTTAGCCCCACTAGTACTCTCCCCTGTTAGTATCAAGGCTGACAAGAATTCTTCGCGTAATCAATAGAATGATTTCACGGCCGTCGTGTTGCAGAGCAGGAACAATGGTTTCGCATGACAAGATAGTTTGTTTTCCGAAGAAAAAAAAAATATTGTTTTGCCTTAAATATGACTGCCATGAATAGTACGTCTTTCTTTTATTCTCCGTAGGTAGATTGCCTTGCTTTTTCATGCGATGCCGACCCCGAAGTGCGTGGTATAGACGACGATCATCTGTTATCTGCAGGCGTGATATTACCTCCATCTTATCACCAGTGGTGGAGATTTCTTGTGACAATATACCTCCCACATGGAATAGTGGACGGCACCATACTAAATCTACTAGGCTTACCGATCTGCTTGATCATTGAAAGGAAGATTGGATTGCTGCGCATGGTACTTGTGCACACGACCGCTGGCGTGGGAGGACATTTGGTAAATGAAATGTCTTATGTTTGGTTCTTTGACTCTCAAATGGCTTCCATATTCAACATCGCATTGTTATAGGACAGTATGGAATTCTGTACGCTTTGATTGGTTGAGAGAGGAAACCATATTATGGAGTAATAATAATACAATACGTTCCCTAATTAGTTTTACCAAAAAATTTACTAATTACTAACTTTTATATTTTTACCAACCTTGTGGTGAGTAGATTCGACTCCAAATTCTATTGCAGGTAGACCCTGAGCTATCCCAGAATCCTTCACGCTTATCGTAAAATATTAATAAACCAATCATTTTAACTCATCAACTTTTCCCCTTCAGATTGGGTCATTATGCAGCGAGTCAACATCAATAACAACTGGAGGAGTACCTTCGCTTGCAGGGATCATAGTCATAAGTATCATATATTCCTTTAGAGCCCAAACACAAAGTTCCAGAATTTTGTTGTATTTATCTGGTTACTTTTTTTCCTTGGTGGTTTTATTCATTTTATCTTCATTTCCACTCGTGAATAATTTTTCTACTTTTTCTGGTTTAATCTTAGGAATTTTTTTAGGATTCACATACTTACCAAATTTAAAGCTTAGGAGAGAGCATGTCGTAAGAGTGACTTGTCTTGCAGTTATTATCTTAGTGTTTATTATATGTCTGTTTATTTTCTATGAGGTACAGCCATCCTGTTCATGGTGTATGAAATTCAGTTGTGTTTTCTTTGTTGATGGGTGGTGTGAGTAGGCTAGTATATGTTGTGTGTTGGAGTGTTCCATTATGAGATGGGTGGTGTAAATAGGTTGTTATATGTTGTGTGTGCTTGAGTGTTCCATTATGAGATGGGTGGTGTAAGTAGGCTGGCATATGTTGTGTGTGTTAGAGTGTTCCATTATGAGATGGGTGGTGTAAGTAGGCTGGTATATGTTGTGTGTGTTAGAGTGTTCCATTATGAGATGAATGGTGTAAGTAGGCTGGTATATGTTGTGTGTGTTAGAGTGTTCCATTATGAGATGGGTGGTGTGAGTAGGTTGGAATATGTTGTGTGTGTTAGAGTGTTCCATTATGAGATGGGTGGTGTGAGTAGGTTGGTATATGGTGTGTGTGTTAGAGTGTTCTATTATGAGATGGGTGGTGTGAGTAGGTTGGTATATGTTGTGTGTTAGAGTGTTCCATGATGAGAAGGTCTGTGAGAGTAGGCTGGTAAATGGTGTGTGTTAGAGTATGTCGTTGTGTTCAATTATTAGATTGCCACTCGCTGATTAGTTAACAGTCACAATAGGGTAATCAATCTTTATACTTTGATTGATGGCAGTGTATTGTCCGTTTTTCCTTGCACAACTGTTGCCTCAATCAGCAGGTAATGATGAAAACAGTAGTAAAGCTTTAGAACTCAAAAATGTTTTGTAAAATCTCATTGCACTGAACAATGAATAAAATATAAAAATATTGTACTGAAATGAATTTAAAAAGAAAAAGGATTGATAAGATAACAGATAATGCCTAGCAGTTACTAGTTCAAATTGTGTTGGCATGTCGAATATGACAAATAAATAAGTAGGAAACAGACATGTCATTCCTTCATCAGCGTTCATCTGAATGATCAGTAATGTTCTAATCTCTTTTACACAGTGTATATATTTAGTTGATTAGACAACAGATGATTAAGATGCTAGAAGCTGTTCCATTTGTTCAATAATAGTGCTCATTCTATCATAGGGTATTATCATAACAGTTCTGTAAGGTTCCAATAATGTATCATCAAAACTCCAATTACCACCAAGTAAAATCTCTTCCTCATCTACCTTGACAGGGTAACTAAACTTGATGGTGGACTCCTGGAAAAGAAAGGGAATAAATGGGAAAACGAATGGGGAACTGAATCAATGACAAAAGGGAGAGAGGGAAGAAAGACATGGGGAAAGTAGAATGGAGGGATAAATGATCTAATGTTTAAAGAAATAAATGAATAAATAGTTAAATGAATAAATGGGTAATTGGCTAATAAATAAATGAATAAATGAGAATATTAAGGAATAAACACACAAAACAATGAATGATTGGATAATAAATGAATGAGATGAAGGAGTGGGAAAATGCATGAATGAATGAGAGAACAGAGAATATGATGGATTTCCTTGCCCCCAGAAGCAAATCATTTAAAACATCCAAAGAAAAGGTACCTTGTTGAGTATTTCATCTTCTACATTACTAAAGTTTAAGTCTTGATTCTTTTTTTCTTGTAACTTTGCTGCTTTCTTGCCTTTGGATTTCTTGGATTGACCTGTCTGTTTTTCTTTGTATGACTTGGACAACACTAGTAAGTACTTGAGAGTGCCACCTTTATCCTAAATTAGATTGATAGTTGTTTAAGTAATCCATTGAATGTCATGTTTTCCCATGGCTTTACTGGTAAAATAGGGCCTTCAAAGTTTCTCAAACCGTGAAACATGCTCTGGGCTGATCAAAGTCAGTGCAAGGCTAACCCACAGATTGAATTAGAATTTAGAGTAAAATACTTGAATCAAGGAAGAGACCTAACAAAATCTGCTCACATGTAATGCTAAGTCCAAGAATCAAGCCCATCACCCAAGAGGTGAGTGTACTACTGCTACACCACCATTGATTCCCAAAGTTGCCCAAAATGAAGGGGGACAATTCAGTCAGAATATTTGAACTATTGCAACATATTGGCTTTAGGAGTGCATGTACATGTTTCTACCTTTTTATGTTGTTCTTCCAATTCTGCCCTGAAATGAATCAAGAATAAAAGTCTAAGGCAACTTAATATTCACTTACTAGTATCACAGCTCAATGAGGTATAAGACAATAACAAAATAAATTTAAAGAAAATTTGATAGAGTGTGTAATAGTTGCACATAGATTATGATGGCCAGCCACATTGAACTAATCAACATTTGACCAGTCAATGTGACCACTCAACATGACCATTCTAGAGGAACGGCATAAGAGACAAGTCACTGCATTGCAGTTGCCATATTGCACAGAGTAGATTTTGTATCAGGGCCATAGCCACCGGTACGGTTGGTCCGGTTTCGTAATGGCATGGATATCAAACCATCAAATTCATCATGGCACAAGACAATATTCCATGAGCTTTTCACTGTCATTAAAAAATCTGCTCCTGACTTTCTATAGTGGGTATTTTCCTTCCAGTACAAATCTGCATTAAGCAACAATAATTAAAGAATTCAAAATCTCCTTACCTTAGTGCTTGGTATAGAGGGAGGGCAATCTGTGGTGGGATATTAATAAACCTTTCACTAAATAACAATCCTACTCTCTTGTTACTATCAAGTATGTCTTTGAATTTTGTTTGTGTTTCAGGATCAGCAGAAGACTTGCATTTGTGGAGTAAAAGCTGCTTTATTTGTTGAATGCACTTCTTTTCCTGTAAAATGACATGCATTTTCCCCTTTAATAACATAAATGATCTAGCAACAGCCTCAATTATTTTTTTTGGGAAACCCTTCCCTTGATGAAAACTTCTAGTTTTCGAGTGAAAAACCTCTACTTGAATGGACAAAAATAAATTCCTCCCACTTTTTTTCTTGAAAAAGACTCTATTCAGATGGCATTTCGAACACCAATATAAATATATTTTGGATGCAAAATCTTTGCATCCCATGACCTCAGCATTATGCAATTATTTCCTTGATAAAGTTTTGTCCTCATTTGTAATATAATATCTTGGCAAATGCATAAGATTTTTGGGGTATATTCCTTGGTAAGTTTCTGTTAACTCAAGTATACAGTCAATTCAAAAAACGTTGTCGTCGACCGGCTCAAGCCTACGTGACTGGACCGAAAGGAATATGGGTAAAAATTACTGAAGCGGTTAAATATTCGTTCTGAATTAATTGTTTCCGCTAGTAATAAAGATAATAATGGCGAGAAAAAATCCATCAAATGCATGTGTTTGGGTTTAGGGAAAGAAAAACAAAGTAGTTATGATTCAGTTCACAATTTTGAAAATATGAAGGCACTAAAAAAAAGTCTCCTTCCACACTTCCCGCTCGCCTACAAAGGTTCATGCTGTAAACAAGGCATAACTAGTCGGATAAAATAATGGAGTCAACTCGGCTTCAATGATTGCTACCCAGAGTTCCTTTCGGTCCAGTCGCGTAGGCTTGAGTTGGTCGACGACAACGTTTTTTGAATTGACTGTATATAGAATCCAAGCAAATGCACAGTCTTCAAAATCACCAAACATACAACATGTGCACTATGTTTAGTTATAATGGCAATAGTTTCTCAACTCATACCTGGTATTGCACCAAATCCAAGATGGTTATTAAACCTAGTATTTCTTCTTCATATTCTTCTTCTTCTCCTTTACTTGTGCTGGGACCATCTTCTTTCTTTTCTTTTTCTTCCTCTGTCTCATCCTCTTCCACTACCTTCAACATACCAATTTCAAGCATCTTAAACTTGTCCAACATATTTTAATTCTAGTATAATTATTCTTCTTCTCCTATAAAGGTAGATTAACTGTTCTTGCTGCTGTTGTTGTTGCTGTTGCTGCTTTTGTTGTTGCTGCTGCTTTTGTGGCTGTTGTTGCTGCTATTGTTGCTTTTGTTGTTGCTGCTGCTGCTGTGGTTGCTGCTACTACTGTTGCATCTGTTGTTGCAGTTGCCGTTGGTGCTGCTGTTGTTGCAGCTGTTGCTGCTGCTGTTCACAGGAAAAAAGAACGGATTCCCAAATTGGGATTTTTCCTTGAATTCCCAACAAATTCCCATCCAATTCCCAGAGAGAAGGAAATTGGGAATGTGGCACTGATTCCCAATGTTAGTTTGTTGGGAATTTTGTTTTTCTATTGGGTATTAGAAGGAAATTCCCAACAATAAATCCCAACGTTGGTGTTCGAATTGGGAATTCAAGGAAATTCCCAACAATTCCTAATTTGGGAATCCGGTTTTTTTTCCTGTGGTTGTCATAGTTGTGGTTGTTATAACAATTAATTGTAGTTATTGATGGACAAAATGTAGCCCTATCAACGAATATATCTCCATAGGATTAAAAATAATGATGGCAGTTATAATTACCTTAATTATGCTGCCAATTTTCTCTTGAGAAATTATAAGGTTTGCAAGTTCAGATAGATCAATGGAATCCTTCAAAAATAACTACAAGTTAAAGTGTAACACAGTTATTAATAAATATATCAACCTACAATGCACAGTACTACTGAACTCCCAAATCCCTGTTTGGGGGGGGGAGGGGATATAATTCTTGGGAGAGGGGGTTGTGCAGTTTTGTCCTGTACTGTTGAGAAAGACAAAAAGTTATTCACGTACCTGTTTTAAAAGATTTCTCATAGCTCTAAAGTCGCACTCCGCAGGAGGAAAGGCTTCAAATTCTACAGGGATTTCCTAAATTAAGACAAAAAACAAACACGTGCACCCAACATTAACTCTGTCAGTCTATCTATAATTTGTCAGTTTAATTTATAAATATATTCACCATATCTTCGTCGAAATTTTCATCAGATGCACTTTCTTCACTGCTGCACTCGTCAGAGGAAGAATCCTCGTCGGATTCGGCCTGTTTTATTTGTCGTTTTTTACCGCGATTTTCACTGTTTCCTGACGCCATCTTGGATCGTGACAGAGAAGGCCTGGAGAGAACACAGGGAACCCATAACACACCCTTTTTTCTTTTCAAATTCACTAAGTAATGTTTTATTTGTCTAGCCTTCTTAAAAAGTAACAAATATGAGATTTGAGCTTTCTCGACTTACGATTTAATAAAATTGGAGCAAAGTTTATAGATTACTTGTTTCCGGAAGAAAATATTCTGTTGTAGGGATTCCTGTGTTGTCCGGTCGCGCGACACTGGTATCTGAAAGTCCAAGTTGTTTTCGAAGAGTAGAAATGTTTTGAGGTGAAAAAGTCTTTCTCTCGTAAAATAAATGGTTTTCAACCAAAAATGGGAGAGACTAACGTCATTTCCAACACAAATAATGAATTCTCGTCGCTTCTACGTCCTCAGAGAAGTAAGTTTTTAAAAGATTTGACCAGAATTTTTATGCTACATTTTTTGAAGTTGGTGACAAAGATTTGCACTTCGCGTCACGTCGTTGTAAATAAAATATAAATGAATCGTTTTTAAGCTTTAAAGATATAGAATCTACGTTCATTTTATTTTCATATCGTTTTATTCATTAGTTTATTTTATACGTTTTTTGATGGCTCCTTCCAGAGGTTTTATGTATTACTTAAAACCAAGGCATTGAAGCTTGAAACAAATGGTTGATGTTTAAAAATATTGTTTTTGAAATAAAATGTAAGATGTTTTCTCTACCACATTAAGACAAAGTACTAATCTGAACATAGATAATAATATAATGTGCATTTAAATGTCATTAAGATTACTTTGTTTGCAAAATGGATTCCCTTGATTCAATCTAAATCTACAATTATTGTAAAAATCTAATATCATTGAATACCAGGGCCTGGTTGTATGAAGGGTATAGCGCTATCCGACGGATAAATCTTATTCAGTGGATAAATCTATTGGATTGCATTGACTTATCCACTAGATAAGGATTTATCCATGGGATAGCGCTATCCACCCTTCGTACAAACGGGCCCAGTAGCTTAGACACATACTTTAGAGTAATTTTCTTTGAATGGGAAATGCACAGTACTGACTTACAGCATAGACAAGGTATGAAATATGCCGTAACATTGATATGGCAGTGAACAGAGGATGTTTGCTAATGCTATTCGCATGCAGCAAGCTTTGCAAAGAAGTGTTAGTAAGAAAACAGCATTGAAACTACAACATATTTTTTCTTCTATATGATAAAAACAATAAAAAACCTTTTTTTTCTGTGTTCTGTTCTGTAATGCTTTCTAACAACTTAGAAAGCATCAAGAACATTCATGCTTACATCGCTTCCTGGATGCCGTATTATTGAACATAGCACAGAAAAAAAACTATTCGTTAACTATATTAAGTAGTGTATAATCCACTCATATGTAAACTGTTTTTGTTTGATAGTTCCCCCTGTAAGTGACATAGAATATTCTGCACAATTCTGGCCCAAATTAGAAGGAGCTATTTTATTAATACTACGGCAAAATCCTGGTGAATTTATACCAATATCATACGAAGAGATGTATAGGTAAGCACACTGATACTTTCTCCTCAGACCCTCCTCACCCTTTGGAAACTCCAGTCCTTCCTCATAAAGGAGGGTGTAAATATTTTCTGGAACCAGACAATATACCCTCCTCATACCCTCATCACCTTTTGAAAACTCCAATCTCCCTTAATAGAGGAGGTATGGATATTTTTGGGAACTAGACAATATACCCTCATCACCTTTGAAAACTCCAATCTCCCTTAATAGGGGAGGTATGAATATTTTCTGGAACTAGACAAAAAAATAGACCCTTTCCACCCCTTAAAAGTTGAGATCCCTCTCTGGGGGGTTGGGGGGTTTTTTGGAAATATTCTTAGACCACACCATATACTATACACTCCTCATACTCTCATCAACTTTTGGAAACTTCAATCTCCCTCCATGAATATTTCCTGGAACCACAAAATTAAAAAGCAATCCTCAAACCCCTACCACCTCTTGGAAATTCCATTCCTCAGCCATGAGATATATATATATATATATATCGCATATTTCCTGAAGCTTAACAATAATAACGTTGTTTTATTTTTGACTAGTGCTGTTTACAAGTGTGTGTGTCAGCAATACTCTGAGATAATGTACAAGAATTTAATTGATTTAGTAACGATACACTTGACAGAGGTAACAAAGGATCTACAGGTAAGAGTGCTATTAACATTTTACTCTAGTCTTGGTTCCTTTTGAAATATGGCATTGCAAGGATAAGTAAATCAACAAACATTCCCTTTATACCTAATAGACCCCTTCACAGTTCCCTGCGCCATCTTGAAAGGTAGCTGTGCCTTTGCATCGAAGCGAGACAAACGGTGAGCCTGCAATGATAGAGACATGTGAATAATTGTTCAAGGTGTTAAAAGAGGTGTCTATCATTGCAAGCTCACTGTTCATTTTGCTTCGATGCAAAAGCAGGGCTACCTTTCAAGATGGCGCAGGGAACTGTGAAGGGGTCTATTTAGAGATCTACATTCTAATATACTCAAATTTCCCTTTTTAGGGCACATCTGGGAAAACGTATTTGGAGAAGTTTGATTTTCTGATGGCTCAGTACCTGCAGGCTGTTACAGGCATTGTTGCGATTTTTAATTACATGGTATGTGTGAGATGGTGTTGGAATGATTTTATTTGGCCCATGAAACAAAGTTGTATAAGCAGTGAGTAACATTTAAAGTAAAACAAAAGAAAACGGCGGAATGATTGTCTTATACTATAATTATATTATGCTTACTATCTTTTCATGGGATAAGTAATATCAATCTAACTACTTGCATTGCAAATTATAGATTAATCAAACTCTTAGGCCAAACAAAAAAATAAGTGTGTTTCCTGTTGTGCAACTGACCCTAATTTTCTTGTCAATTTTTGCCGACCCTAATATTTTTCCAGTAAGCTCATTTCCACTGTTGTATCAGTATAAAAAATCCACCCTTCCGAACCCAATAATTTTTTTATGCAACAGGAAACACACTTATTTTTTGTTTGGCTTTATACTAATGTTCATAATTATCCTCTCTGCATGTGTAATGCGTACAGCTGACACTAAGGACCTCAATATTTATGTTAGATGTATCTCTATTGATTATTTGTAGATTTGTGAAATTTTCTTAATTTTTTTAGAATCGATTTTATGTTGTACCAAAGCTTCATGCAGATCTTACAGTAGAGCTGAAAAGATTATTTACAGAAATTGTTGCTGATAACCCTTTTTTATTTAGTAAGTCTTTAAGGGAATGAAGAGTCACTGGTGTAGTACATGTTAATACACCCGTTTTTCACCTCTGGGGTCACAGGTTTGATTCTTGGACATGTCATAAAATGTGAGCAGAGTTTGTTGGGTCTCTCCCTTGATTCCAGGGTTTTTCTTCGGTTTTTCTCATTTCACAAAAACCAACATACCAAATTCCAATTCATTCAATGAGTTACAGTATCCATGTCCCGACTAAGAACAAGATGTTGTTTCAGGCTTTGATGAAATTTAAGGTTTTTAATTGCTACAAATAAAACAGCATTTTTATTTTATTTTTATTTTATTTTTATTTTATTTTTATTTTATTTTTATTTTATTTTATTTATTCAATTAATCAGAAAAACTAACGCAGATAGATTTTGACGTTTCGGTGACATCCTGTCATCATTATCGAGAAACTAACTGAAAAAAAATTAACATAAAGTAAGTTGAGAAACCAAGATATATTTATTCATTCTAGATATGATAGATGAAGTATCTCAAAACCCATTTGCTGTCAGTCCACATACCATGATGTCTGTCATTAAAGGACTCTACTCACTCAAACCAGGTACACTTCTTTATTGATAGTGGATCAGGATGGATGGATAAATAGAAGGATGGTGGGATGGGATGGGATGGGAAGGGAAGAGATTGGAAGGATGATTGTATAAACAGATGAGGGAAAGGATAGATGGATGGTTAAATGAATGGATGGGTAAGCAGATGGATGGTTGGATGGATGAATGGATTGGATGGTTTGATGGATGAATTGATGGATGTAGTATGGATGGATTGATGGATGGATGGATCAATGGATGAGTGGAGGGATGGATGGATTGAAATTGAAAATTTTTGGTTGGATCAGTGGATGAGTGGAGGGATGGATGGATTGAAATTGAAAATTTTTGGATGGATGGATGGTTCAATGGATGGGTGGATGGAGAGAGGGAGGGAGGGATGGATAGAGGGAGGGAGGGAGGGATGGATGGATTTCCATTATTAAGTTAGTCTTTCAATAAATTCACCAATATCAGTACAATGGCTGCTTCCAACATCTTTTTTTCATTTCAGAGTTTGCTGAAAGAAATCCCTCTCTATTTGCCAAGTATGTACCTAATTTATTACCAGCATCCAGACATCAAGACCTTCCTTTATTCATTGAAGAAACGAGACAGCTACAAAGAGACCTTATTGACCAATATGGATATACCAGGTAAAACATACCTGATATTTGTAGAACTCATAAATACTACCAACCTCAATACAGGGGGAAATTAAGGTGTTAAGGTGGGAGAGGGGGCTGAATAAATATTTGTAAGAAAAATTTTCATCACTCTTCCATAAAATGGATACATTTGCAGTGTACTTGCCTCTCACCTCTGGGGTCTCTGATTCAATACCTAAACTCAGCATCATGTGATAGAATTTGTTCGGTTTCTTCCAATAATGCCAGAGATTTTCACCAGGTTATCTAGCTTTCCTCCTCTCACAAAATCCATCTTGGTGCAGTTTTCGTATGACTGTGAAAAGCTCAGTGCCGGAAGCGTGTCGTGACCGTGATACTTTCTAGAATCTTAACTGGCTGTTTTTTTTCACGCGCAATATGATTGGTCTAAAAGTGCCGTGATCTTGGTGTGACCGTGTCCGCGCCGTGTTGATGCCATGTTCCAGGTATTTGATTGGATGGAGAGTAAATTCTCGTGCAATGTGATTGCTCTTGCATATCCCTTGCTGTGTCACTACCGTGTACGTGCCGTGAACTTTTCACAGTCATACGGAAACTGCACGTCTACAATATGACATGTAACTTAGCTTTGTCCTTACTTCATGCTTCATATTTCAGGGTTGGATAAAATTAAGGGATTATTAAATTTTCATGTATCTTTATCTATCACCAGAGAAAACTCAGATAGAAAAAGACGTGGAGATGAGTTACAAGGTAGATAACAAAATTTGACTTTAAAAAAAATGTTTATCTTACTTTGCTTAATTTTTTTAAAATGTTTATGTTAATTATATCTTCAGGAGATAGTGAATAATCTAGAGAAATAATATAGAAGACGATTGGTTCTAGTGATAGCTACAGCCAAAGCAGTGCGTAACTTCAAGAGGAGTCATCAAGCATGCAGAAAAAGAGAGTCCCAGAGTCAACAGTATGTGATAGGATACGACTTACTAGGAGCAGGTCAATCCTTTGTGCCATCATGGTGCTAAAGTCTTAATTAATTAATTAATTTCTATTTAGTTATTAGACATAGAAGTACCAATACCAATAGATAGTTTTTATTGAAATCATAGTTACTGCTAAATACAATTATCAAGAGAAAATCTAGTTTAATTAGGATTATATTAATGTTAATTTCTCTATTCACCAAAAAATATCCATACTCCTAGTAAATAGTATTGTACTTTGTGTATAATACCTAAAATATTCTTTCCTTGAAAACGTATAACCAATCCTTACCTATTACCCATTAGGGATTGTATTCCCCACTTGTGGGGGGAGGGGGTTATGGATATTTTATGGAGCTATGCATATGAAATTCTTTTGCAGTGTAAAGGTATTATTTTGTCATTTCTTTTTTATTTTCCACTCCCAAATAACACTTGGAAAATATCTATGAGTTATTTTTAGCCATTAGTGAGAAATGGGCTGACGTGGGAGTGTGAAGATGAAAGTGGATTTTGGAGTATTTTATTGTCTTAGACTCACACATATTATAGATATGAACTTCTTTCCTAGTACGTCACTGAAGCTATGCTACATGGAAATGAAACTAGTTTATTGTGTGTAGTTTATTACAATGTTTTTATATTAAATGAACCTTGGACTAAAAAAACCTTGTGCTTTTACACGCTTATTGTATGATCAACTTTCTTTCCTAGTATTTTGCTGTAGCTATGCTACAGGAAAATAAAGCTTCTTTTTGCGTGTAGTTTGCAATATTTTTGTAACGAATCTTGGACTAAAAAAACCTTGTGGTTTTACTATGAAAGTGGGTACATGTATGTGACCAGGCCCTTCCGATTTGTCTTGAAGCTGCGGAGGTACTGGGAACGAGGATAGCATGTACCCAAGCTAGACCAAAATGCACCACTACGCACTTACGATGGATCCATTGTTTCATGTCTTTGGTCCTTGTAACCCAGCTCATTGAGTTGAATCCCCCAACCCCACCCGCCTTATTTATTTTCTAATTCTCCTTCAGCATGAACTGAAAGAAGACCAATTCTTTGTAAGTATCAGGAAACATGACAGGTGCCACTAGTGTCCAGATATAAATAAAAACACTGAATATGGCGGCCGAGATACGAATCCACACAGAACCCCAGCTTGATACCAGTTTGACCGTCAGGTTCTCTCCTTCCTCTGGTCGGTACCAGTTAGTCACGGTCATCATTGAATAAAGGCAACCCAGACAGAGCATAACGTGAAAGAAAGAATAACTGTACTCTACTCCGTCTTCTTCGTCGTCTGTCACTACCTTCTGGGGTCGGTCTTCTGGAGACGGGGTGTCTTCAATGCTGTCTGGTGCTATTCCTTCTCTGCTGGGTAAAGGAGCTTCGGCGTGGCGAGATGAAAACAGCTTGAACTTGCCATACTGTGGCGGCGAAACGTCTCGTAAGCTTGAGCAGATCAACAGAAAAAACATCAGTCCAAGACTCATTAGTAACTGGACATTTTGGAAGGGACATCCAGGAAACAGGTATGAACGAGACGGATTACATTTGTCATCTGGTGCGTTTGATAGTGCCAACCACGTGACAAACGTGTTATAGGTGGTGATAACTGACGCCTGGAGTAGGCCGGATCGCGGGCGCTTTTCCTGGACGATTGGATTGACCGATATGTAGGTGGCAGCTAAACAGAGATACACATTGAAACTTATAAAAAACATGTTATTGTAACAGCCTTGTTGTGCGTACAAGACGTAAAATAGCGCAATGGAAATGATGGAGACGCTGTACAGAGTGATTGTGGGCAACCATAAAATGGTGTACCAAAGTCGAAATGCATGACGGTTATTCTGGCAACTTTCTAGTCTCACGACACAACTTGAGTTCCAGCAATGTACAATATCGATGAGTAGAACACATTCTAGAATAATAAATACAAAACCTCCATTCAAACCAAAAAACACCCAAACTTCTCCGCTGTATTCAGAGTGAGGGAGGAAGAGAAACGAGAAGACCAGAACTGAGAGAAACACGATTTTGACTCCCCAGAAATTGTTGTGAAGTTGCGAACGAGCACTTTTACTTGACGATATCCCAAATGTTATTAGTGACATTATGAAAAAGAAGATTGCAATTGCTGAGAAGACCCGGTATACGGCAGAATAACCTCGTAGTGTGTCGCACACGAAGTACGTTATGGTCTGGCAGAAGCGATCACTGAATAAGATCTTTGTTTTTGGAGTCAACATTAAACAGCTCACCATGCAGCCTCCTAACAGAAACCCGATATAAGCCATACGAGAGAAAACGGACTGACGAAGCTGAAAACATCGTACGAAACAATGTCTACAAACGATGAATCCACAACATAATATATAGTCGAGTTTCTGGCAGAACGAGGAGAGGATTTTCCAAGGTCGACTGTTCCTTAGCCTTTGTTTAATGCGCTTGTTTTCATCTTCGCCCTTTGGGTAATACTCAGGAGACAGACCTCCGCTTTCTGTTGCCATCTCCACCGTACGACTGAGTTCCTTAATCTTTATACTTTTCTCTCATTTTGAGCGCTAATTTTCTTGACCTAGAAACATTTTATAGTGCATTTTTGGTTTACAAGGCGCGCTTTGTAGTGCTTGGTCTTTGTAGCTGATTCTGGTTCAAAAACACGTGTCGGTGACTAAGCAATCTACTGCATTTTTAATGCAGCTACATGCACTACCATGATCTATTGTCTTGAAATCCTTTGTTTTCACTAAAATTCTCCAGTTGAAACCAAAATTTCGGCCCCATCCACACGTATATAATTTTTGTTTTAGGGTTTTTTGTTTCTTTTTCAAAAAAAAGTCTGTCCGCACGTAGCGTATTCGAATCCTTTTTACCTGTCTCCACACGTATTGGTTTTCGAAAAGTCGCGTTTTCATGACCAATTGACTGAACAAATCCTAGTATTATTCCATTCGAGAACACTGGGGCACAAATAGTTCCACTTCTTTGCTAACAAAAGTTATTCTAAACTAATAAAGAACTGTTGTTACCCTGATCTATTGCTTCCTTCAGGGAAGGTGCAAATGATCACTGAGCCTGACTTCACGGTTTACGCCTCTCTAAACGATCAACTTAACCGAGTCATTCGACCCTATACCCACGATTTACCCACACCTCAACCATGACAGAAAAACTGATATCAGTTTATTAACGGTTTTTAAAGCAAAATCAACGTTTTTATGCTCTAAAAATGTGCATTATCTCATTTAGTCTTTTACAGTAGTGCTTTTTCATGGTAGCCATCAGTCACTCAATAAAACCACCCGGTCATTTACAAAAAGTTTTACCGGCTTAATATTGTATAGCGAGAATTGAAGTACAGAGAATCTACCCTACCGCGGTGACTTCGAAGTGCTCGTACAAAGTCTACAGAGAATTGTTATTTCAAAGCCGCAGTTTTTTTAGTTTCAGGTTTCTTTCTAGGACGGAAACAGCTTTCATTACTGGTGCCATAGTTAGTTACTGGTGTAGGTAAGATTTCTGGACATAAACCGGCCTTTCTTACTAGTGGCATCAACAGGTCGCCATGTCTTTGTTTTTGCGACTCGCAGGGACGGTGAATAATGACAAACTCGTTTTGCTTATTTTCTAAAGCTTTCAAACTACCGCTTTTTTTCCTGAATCGTTCATCAATTCTTAGTTTTCCTTTCTGATTTATTCCCTTAAAGAAAACAGCATTATGATAAATTTAAAAAATTAAAAAAGTGAAAATTCAGACYCTCGGAAATGCGATTTCCAGCTGTTTGAGAGGCATTTGCGACACATTTATTCTTGTAAAGCTATGACCATTTTGCACATCCTGGCAAAGAAAAAGAAGAGAAAAGGCATATCTGATATGAGTCTCACAATAAGTAGCTCACAATATATATGTAGCTAAAAAATCACTTTCGGATGACGTTATAAAAAAAACTGAAATATCTGAAATTTTACCGAGGCAAATGCCTCGCCTCATCGTAGCAACGGCCCTGGTAACCAGTTGTTTTCAAATAGAGACCACAGGTTTTCATGCTGCTAACTGGTCTCCATTTCACAAAAATTGTCTTAAAACTGTTATTTTTATTTCTTTTTTTATTTCTTTTTTTTTAAAATGATAGTTTTATTGTAGGGGCTGAAAGTTAAAAAAAAATATTGGTGTTCCCTTGTTCCCAACAATCTAATCAGGAGTTCCCCAGATCCCTGAAAATAATTTGACAATRTCTCCTGTTCCCTGAAAATAAATGCCCCTGTTCCCTTGTTCCCTAAAACCTCTGGGAGGGGCTCTTTGATAAAGCCATACATTAATGATAATTTAAAGTTGRCAAAGGTGGTCTTTCAACTGATCAATTTTTCTTAAAGGTAATTYAATGTATGTTTTCAGGAATTTTAGTATTCTGAAATATTTTTTCTGTCCTCTATAAGTTTCATACATAGAGTGATTTTTATAAACATGTGAAACAGATAAGGTGAGAATGAAGCATCCATCTTATATTCTTAAGCGTTTATAAACCCATGACAGGACAGCTGGTGAATTTCAGGTTGTTGTTGATGATGAAAGATTAAATAATACAATTATATAATACAATAATAAGATTCTAAAAAGTCATTCTAATAGCATAATAAAATATTGTAATAGCTATACATAATCACATACTAATTTGAACAAAGGACACAATTATGATTACATTTACTTCTAAAAGCTCCGATAAATCTATTTTCCTGATACCTTTCCGGTAATTACCTAAAGTGGTTATTGACTTAATGGTGGTATTCAATTTAGACCATACCACGGGCCTAATCAACTTGTACTAGGAATTATGAAATCTGCATTACTTAAATTATACCTGCTAGTATTAACTTGRAATGAATCCTAAATATATTTCGGACACAATTGGTTCTTGACTTTTAACTTGAGTATGGCTATGTCCTGTAATCTCCTATTTTACTACGATTTTTTGTAATTCACGAGGACCTGTAGAATTCTAARAATAAATTAATTGAAGCCACTTGAAGTATAACTATGGGGTGCACTTGCAAAGAAAGTAACTCTCGTCTTCTACAGAATCAGTTAGCGCATTTCTGTGTTTAAAATTTTTAACTAYCAATAAATATTCCTCTAAATCATAATTAACTTTGAAAATACGATAGGTTCTAAATTTATTCCCTCAGCCAGTGGATCTTTTTTTGTCGTTTAAAAGCTCCCCGGTGTGCACGTGAT